TATATATATATTCCCACTAAGCATGGAGAAGGTTATACAATTAATTTAATATGACAAAGAAAACACATCCTGGGAGTTTAAAATATTTTTTAACTAAATCTAATCTTTAATCTTACAGACTGAATGTCCAGTGTTGGAGGAGTTCCTGCCACGTTAAGTGATGATAATCAGATCAGGTCAGACCAGTTTTTTTTTTTTCTTTTAAGTCAGTATTTTTTTATTACTATTACTATTATTTTTTTTTACCAACAAACCTTAAAGAGCCCTTAACTTTTCATCCCTCACTTCCAATAGATAGAATCCATTTCAGCCAAATATAAACTGCTAAACCACTTTAGCACTTTTCCTCAGACATTGCAGAATTAATTTATTCTTTGCAAGATTTCTCTAATCAGTTCTCGTGTTTTTGTTGCCACAAAGCTCTTTAATCCCAGTGCATTCTGGGTTATGGTGTAAAGGTTAGTCATGTTTAGTAATCCCCGAATAATTAACCTTTTTATTTTTGTTGATTTAAAAAAATGATGTTTGCAGCCCAAACCGATGTTTTTTGTTTTGTTTTATTTGCTACATATAAAAATGTGAATTGATTTGCATGTGACTGATTTAGATGTAGCATTTTGTTTTAAAGAAGAGAAACAAAAAAATGATTTTTTTTTTTTTTAAATTAAGCCAGGCAAAAGTGAAGCCAGAACAGCACAAAGCAAACTTTCTAGTAAAAAATATATTTTTTCTTTCACTTTATGCAAATGTAAATTGTGTTTTTTTGTTTTTCAGTGATTGAAAAAAGCTTTGAAATGTTTCATGAGTATTTATTCTGTCACTACACCACAACGTTTTTCTTTATTTATTGGGAGGAGCCGTAATTTTGGTCCCAGTTTGTTCAATTTGAATGTTCCCGTTGCTTTACAGATATTTAGCTCAACAGCTGCTGCTTATGTGCCTTTATCATTAATATTATTATCTTAAATTTGGACAAGACGTCTCAGATTTCAAGAAGGAAGCAAGTTTACTCTAAATTTTCTCGCCGTTCACTGAGCAGAGAATGAATGTTGCAGAATTTATTTGCTAAAAGTTAAACTGATGTTTTTGTTGTTGTTTTTTCTCTGCTGTTTCTGGAAGGAAAGTGTTTCTGAAGGTTTCTTGACCAAACGGTTCGAAAGGAAAGTGTGTTTTAACCTGAGTTCACAGATCAAAACAGGAGTTTAATAAATAAAAGTATTTCTGTCTCTGTGGGACGACCATAGGGCTCATAGGACCTGCAGATGTGAATTTAATTGGAAATATTTCATTTCTTCCTCAGCATCACTTCTGTCCTGTTTTTATGGAGTAAATGTTGAGTTCAATAAAATTTACACCAATAAAAGTGTAAATATTGAATTTTTTAATAGTTGCGTTATCATAATAAAGGTGTGGATTTATCTTTTTGATATTTTTGAAGAGGAAAATTAAAGCAATTACAATTTTAAACAGTGAATTTCTGAAAGACTGTCGAAATTTGCTGAGTTAAAGCAAAAAGTAGCAAAAGACTAGATAAAAGCTAAACATCAAAATGCTTTTTAAAGCAGTATCTACATGCTAAATGTCGCAAAAGGCTGGTTAAAATTAGCTAAAAGCTAGCTGAACRTAACCTCGAGACAAAAACAGCAAGTTTGATGATTGAATGTCAGAGATCTTCATGTATTTCTATGAGGAAAGCATTTGTAAATAAAGCTAAATATTTTAAAATGTATAAAACGGACGAAAACCAAAAGTCATAGCAGCCATCTCTTAAATGCGCTCAACATTTGCAAAAGTACAAGTGGTTTGAAAAATGTCTTATAGCTTTCACACAATGATGAATCCGAAAATAAAAACATGCAAGTTTTTCTCCAATTAGATGAACAAGTTTGTGGGTTTTTCTTGAATTTTTGCAGAAAAAATAAGTCAACTTTAAACGCTGAGTGAAGCTCTGAAGGGCTTTGCGGAAATTTTCTGAGTTAACTAAAAAAAAAGCTATTTTAGCTGAAATTTAAAAATGTCAATAGGCTAAGCTAAATACATCAAAACACTAGTTATATCATAGTTTTGCAAAGCAGTAGCTAACTGCTAATTGTACTTAAAGGCTAGTAAAAGTAGCAGAAAGCTAATTTCTGGAGAGAGTAAGTGATGAAATATATGTCAAAGAAAATGTTTTCAAGAGATTTCATGTCTTTTAATTGGGAATACATTTGTAAATAGAGCAAAATATTTTTAAATATATAAAATTTATTTAAAAAAAAGTCATAGCAGCCAATTTCTTAAGTGAGATAAACATTCTGATATATAAATTTCAAAAGTAAAAGCAGTCACATTACAAAAATCCTCCACATTAATATTCATTTCAAATTAAAGGAAGACACAAATATGCAAATTTTTATCTCCAGGGTGAATGTGTGTTTCTCACACTCTGACAGGAAGTGATGGCATGAATGGCATCTGATCACCGCCGTGATGCGAAGCTGAAGTTTTTACAACCTGGAGGATTTGTCTGAACAGGATGGAACACGTTCCTCAGCCGTGAACTCACCCGGCGCTGAATCGACAAACTCAGAGCTGACGTGCTGATGGACGAGAACAAGTCAGTGATTAGGAAACACCAGAAAGAGCCGGTCATACGTTAAATTCTACAACAAGTCAGATAACGATGAGTTCAAATGACGTTTATGCAAGAAAGGCCTGTGGGTGATGTCAAAAATATATTTTAGTAAACTTTTTTTAAAAGCAAAAAAACTACAAACTAAACACAAACAAAATGCAGCTAAATGGATTTACACAACAATCCATCGTGTGTTTGTCCTTCATACCATTATTTAAGTCATGTTTTCCATAAACCAATTACTGCTTAGATATGCAGCATTCAGTCACTTGATTAGACTCACCTGATACGGCCACTAAACCTTTCCACGCTTTGCAAACTCAAATGTTTTTGTGTTTTCCTGTCAAATCATCAAAACACATTTGCCCTTTTTTTGTAGGACAAACGCTGCCAGAGTTGTGGGAATCAGACAGCCATGAGGGCAGGTTGAGGGTTTTCCGCTGATGTGAGCACCAGTGATGGAGGGGAAGAGGGTATATTTAGAGAAGGTGATGTCAGAGTTGACAGATTCAGGCTCTTGGCACCTTCTGCGTCTCTCTTTGTCGAGTCCAAACACAGCAAGGTAAAGAAGAAAAATTACTGAAACAAGCTGCTGTTTTAAAACTCTAACCCTGGCTTTATAAGAAAGTGTGTTCAGGATTTTTTTTATTATCTGTATTATTTTAATCAACAGCATCATGGAAGCTGCCATCAACACCATCGTTTCCCAGTTCAAGGTGTACGCCGGGCATGACGCGTCCTCCAACACGCTGAGCAAAGATGAGTTCCACAAGCTGGTGAGCTCCCAGCTCCCCAACTTTGTCAAGGTTTGTCTCTTTATTTTTCACATCCTGATCAACTTATTGACTTCACAAAGGTGACAAACTGAACAGCACTGAGAAATCTTACAAATATGTTTGACTGATTCAAACAAGGACCAAAAATTATCATCGTTGTCATTTTGTGATGTGTTCTGTTTCTGTAAAAGCATTATTTATGTAATGTGTCTGTGAATATTTAACGATTATTACCAGATTTTACGAGTTTACATGTAAAGTACTTCATATATTCTTATAGCTAAAACATTAGGATGTTATTTTAAAAATCAAATTTGTAATTAAAGACTTTACTGTGGCATTTTTATAGTCACTAAATAAGTATCACAGTGCTGCACAAATATATTAAATATAGTGCATTACAATATTTGTTAAATAATTTCATTCTGATTGCTTGGAAATGTTGGATCTGATAAAAAAAAAAGGCAGTTTAAACAAAATACACAGTACATTTTCATAAAAAATAACATTGTAAACAATTAACATCTTACCTGTTGATGATAGATCTTTGAATCTTCTGCAGTTTGGAGAATTGGAGTCTAAATCTGGCTGGATTGATGAGCTAATGGCTAGTCAGAGCCGGATCTAGACTAAGGTGCAATACTGCCGTGCTGACACAATTCCAACCTAAAAACATTTCAAGCTTTAGAAGCAGCTTCAGCTAGCTGTAGCACTTCCAAATCAACCAGGGGCACGTTTGCTGGAAACATTACGTTTCTTGTAGAATAACCTGAGAAACTGACAATTCAGASTAGCCATGAGCTCGTCATTTTGATCAGAACTGGGCTGAAACTGTTCAAAGAGCTATCTAGAACAAGTAAGATATTGACTATTTATAACCTAAATAATGTGATTCTAAAGAATTTTATTGTGAAGAAATTTGACGTGATCACATTTTTTTTTTTAGCTCACTCAGTCCTCGGGTGTCCGGACAGTCTCTGAGTGTATCTATTAACCATCAGTGTCTCTGATCGCCCACAGAACGCCAGCGATCCCGGAGCTGTCGACAAGCTCATGAGCTCCCTGGACGAAAACAACGACGGGGAGCTGACGTTCTTCGAGTTCTGGCAGCTGATTGGAAAACTGGCAAGCAAACAGGGAGGCTTCAGCCAGTAGTTGACTCTCTCTCTCACTCTCTCTGTTGCACAACACCAATCTAATCAGTTTATTCAGGCCGTCCAGCTGTAAACTGAAGGGCGTTTGAATTCCTCCATCAGTGCCACATGTGTACATTCTTAGTTAACCATTTGTTGAATGAGGGGAACTTTGAATTAAAGGCTCTTTTGTTTGGAAACTTCATCCACCCACTCTCAGACTCTTGTCGTTTATTCGCGTTATATGATGTCTGCTTGAGCAGTGGTGTGTTATAGCCTTGATTTAAGAGCCTGTAATCCTATATGGATTACAGCTACCACACCATCCAGCACAGATCTTGTTCCATAGGGCTTTATAATGTCTGYACAAAGCTGACTGTCAAAGCATTAAGCAGGGATGATGCAAAAGCCYGGTCTTTAGTGTCCGTCAATGAGGCCTCAATAGACTGTGTAATGACCCAAAGGCAGCTTATTGTGTCTGGAAGGCCCTATTGTTTTTTGCACCAATGAGTAATTTTTGTTGATTCTGTAATTAAACCTAACGTCTAGACAAAGTTATGTGAGCTGGATTGCTTCGCTTCTGATTTATAGCCTAAAGGTCTGTTTTAATTTGCAAAATAATTTAAAAAGGAAAAGAAAACAGTGCCGCTAACTTGACTGCGAGAGTGTAGAGATTTCAAACTGATAAGTAGTAAATGTGACCTTTGACTCCAAATTACCCCCTGCATTACTACGCTGGCATGAGCCGGGCGTCTGAGTCAGGAGAACACCCAAAGTGATTACGACACCCGGTTAGAAGGGGAAGACTGTGTTTGTTTGTAGACAACTGCTTTTCTAGATAAGCATGTAGACACTGCTGTCACTGGAGGAACCTTTAAAAAAAATAAAACACCAGCAGGGAAATACACTCTGTGGAGGGAGTTTACTACAATATAAAAACATCTGGCTACAATACCTTAAATATTTCCCCAAATCTTTACCATATTCACTTTAAAAGTCTGACTTCTAAAGATTATGAACAATGAATATCTTACCTGTTGTGGATAGGGCTGGATTGATGAGCTAACAGATAGTCAAACACTAAACTGGATTGTTGTCATATATACATACTGTATGTACAGTATATATA